TCTCTCTCTCTCTCTCTCTCTCTCTCTCTCTCTCTCTCTCTGGTTCCAATCTTTCCAATTCTAGCGACTGTGGTGTCCCTATGGAGAACACCATAGACTCAATCCTTGCGCGGGAGCCATGTGTTCCTCCCCCCTCCTCCCCACTCTCCTTTTTGTTAAAGGATGACGGTCTTGAGCTGTAATCTTTGAGCTGACCGTCAGTCAGAATAAGATTGCCAAAAAAAAAAAAAAAAAAAAGACTTGAAGCAGGAGTAGACCTGCGACGCGACGCCCATGCATGCATGAACAACACTCAACTTCACAGAAAAGATTTGTGAGTTCTCTGAATCGAAAAACATCGAAAGTGACATCACCAGGATATGTTGACTGCCAACTATAGAAAAGCCTAAACTGACTGGCCTAAGGTAATTCCAAAGTTTTGTAGAGAAATAAATAAATAAAACAAAAAATTCCGAAGTTTGTGGTAGTGGAAGTCGACGTCAAGGTTCAAGGTTTAGGGTTCAGGCTTCAGGCCTCTGGTTAGGGGTTAGGGTTTAGGGGTTAGGGTTTAGGGTTTGGGGTTTAGGGTTTAGGGTTTAGGCAAATAAAGGTTGCATTGTGTCACCCCCCCCCCCACAAAAAAAGGGAAAAAAAAAGAAGGTTGCGTTGTCTAATCGATTCTAATCGATTCTGCTCAAGGAATGGGCTCAAGCTGTAGATAAGGAGGCCAGGAGGTCGATTACTCCGAAAAGAAAAAGGGGGAAAAAAAAAAAGTGCAGGGAGGTGGAAAGGTCCCTTTTCTCAGCAAACTGAAGCTGGGTAATACGCCCCTGGTAAGTGGGCACTTTTCTTTTCTTCTCTTTTTTCTTTTTTTTTTACCACGGGTGGCCCTTCCATTCTGGGGGGCGTTAGTCCTGTTAGATGTTGGAGATGGAAGGGTTGAGATTACTGCCGATAACATGGATCGCAGACAAGAACAGGCAAGAACTGCGAAGGATTGGAGTGGCACCATTGTGATCAGCAGAATTCCTAGCTGAATTGGAAGCAAAACTCCCAAAGGATAAGAAGTTATTATCCCCCTTCATGCGTACGTACTTGACAACCAGCTGGTTGGCAGAAACCAGCAGCTCACAAGGGCGAATACGCGGACAAGCAACCCCATCCATCCAACAGACAGAGGAGCAGGAAGTAGATGGGTAGCCTCATGATCGTATCATGGAACATGAGGGGATTGGGGGACACTGAGGGGAGATACAAGAAGGAGAGGTTGAAAAGGTGGATTCATGTGAATAGAGTGCAGGTTGCTTGTCTACAGGAGACGAAGTTAGGAGAAGAGAAATTAGAGGCGTTAGGAGGCTGGTGGGACGGGCCACAGTTGTGGTCTCCAGCGCAAGGCATGAGGGGAGTAGTAGGGATACTAATTCATAGACACTTGGGAGCGGAAATTATAATTTTTTACGCAAATCTCGGGGGAAGGTGGGCGTGGGTGAAGATTCGGGTCGAGGGAGAGGAATGGCTGGTGGCAACGGTCTATGCACCAACTGACCAAGGAGAAAGAAAGATCTTTTGTGAATAACTGTGGTATATCATCCCGCACTGTGATAGAACTATTGTAGTAGGGGATTAGAACCTCACTTTAGATGAGCCGGAGGGCAATCAGCAGGCATCGTCAGGCAAAGAAGCGTTGTTAGGCTTGATGTCAGATATGAACTTGGTGGATCCCTACAGACCGAGCAACCTCGACAAGCAGGGTTATACGTGGTTTTCGAACCCGCACCCGGGCTTGGGAGTAATCAGCAGAAGGCTAGACTACTTCCTGGTTACAGCAGAGCTTTGGGAAAGGGTAAGTTCAGTTAAAGTGGGCACTCACTCGATGGCGGATCACAAACCAATCACCATGAACCTGACAATGAGCGCAACAGTGAGAGGTAAGGGATACTTCAGATAGTGGATGGGGCGTTTCTGGATAGATTGGCAGGAGGCGAAGTCACTATATGATTCGTTGGTGGGATGGTGGGATGCGGGGATTACGATCTTCTCGAATTTATTGAGTGTGTTTTCACGAATACTCTCTTTTTAGAGGAGGAAGCAGGAGGATAACGTGAAGAAGAAGATAGAGTATGTGGAAGGGAGGATGGAAGAACACCCTGTATCTCGACTGGTGTGGGGTAAGGAAAGAACCAGACTGCTGAAAGACTGGGATGCTATACAAGTG